TTTTTTTTTTTTTTTTTTTTTTTTTTTTTTTTTATTTCATTGCAAATAATCGACTATTAAAAAGCTAGCAGTTTTAATCATGATGCGTTAGACACACACACAGCCTTTCACTTATGCTATATTCGATATACCGGAGTAGGGTCTATGACCAGACCTGTCCGTCAATGCAGATTCGGATGCTTACAATCTGTAAAGGGATGGGTAACCTGCACACAGGTCATATCTCATCTCATTTCGGAAGCAACTCTTAATACAGAGACTGCCTAAATGAAGTCACCCTTCTACATAGCCGCATCCGGCTGGACATAGCACATCTATGTGAATTCAAAGCTTGAGTTTACCTGTGCCGTTGTTTCGACGAAAGCGGAAGTTGAGTTCTTCTTTCGGCATTTACATACATTCCTGATCAGCACAACGGAATTATCTTCCGAGAATGCCATCTGTTTGTCGCCCTACGATGTGACACATCAGGCCCTTGTGACCTATATTCCATCGTCACACTCTCAGCACGCCAAGATATGATGGCTTGGAACCCTATCCTGCAGATCAGGGATCATAGAAGTACTAGTCCCAAACATAATGAAAAACAGATCAAGAGGCCGCACTATCTATTCTGCGGTGCATGCCAGTGCATCAAGAATGTAAAATATTATTGGTTGAAACTGAAGATCGAAAGATCCTAACCCCAAAATGCGATACCATTTCCGTATTCAGCTTTGATAGTCACAACATATACAGGGTACCCTACGCACTACTGTAAAACTTCTGCTCCACTTTATGAGCTTCCATCCAGGGGCTACTGGAGCAGCTGTGTGTATGACACCGATGTACTTTTGACTTCTGCTGATTTCATGAATGTACTAGTTTTTTTGGATTTTGCCTATATTCTTGTATATTTTGGATGTTTGTCTATCAGTTGATGCATCTGGAATATGAACTTGGAAGGGAATTATATGGCCGGTATTGACTGTAAATATAGAATTTGTTTGCGGGCTCAACTCCAGAGATAGCTAGAAAGTCAGGAGAATGGGAGATTCAAAAGACTAAGAGACGTATAGAGTAAGATGTGTCACTAGAGCCTGTTATGCAGGTAGCCTGTTCCGGGCATGTCAGCTTTCCTGCAATTTAACATTCCCGTGGAGACTTCCTGGGAAAGTGAAGCTCAAGTGATGATGGAAAGATGGACATGCAAATCTTCCTGCCTCGGGTTATTCATATTGCTAACTTTACATTGACAATAACCGTGGCATCAAGACACCTCCACTCAGTGCTCATAATAAGCGGAAAAGTGAGAAATTTGGACTGTAATATGACTGGTATTATATTATAAAACTGCATTAGTCCCAGGACCAGCCTGGTCACAACCCAAAACTACATAGAGCTGGCAACATTTCACGTTTTCACCTCGGGTTTTCATTGCAACGATCCGTTTATTAAATACATACAAGTCTTCCTCCAGTTCCCGTCAACGAGTCAAATAGCAGAAGAGACATTAGAAAGCCAAACTAAGAAAACATACGGCGAGAAAAATGAAAAAGGGCAAAAAGAGAACCGAAACACGAATCCGAAGATCAAGTCCGGATGGCATCACTAGCTGACTAGAAGCCAACCTGACTTGGCAGAAGTAACCTGCCTCTGCAATTGAAATGAAGGTACCACGATACATTTACTGATACACATGTTAGCCAGTCTTCCAGCTTACCCCAGGCCAGGGCAACTTACAGAAATCTCAGCCATTCCAAGATCCTCGCCGCCGTTGGCGGCTTGCGGAGCGGGCGCGGTCGCAGGGGCGTTGCCCTCGGCAGGACCGCCGTTCTCGTTGGAGAAATAGTCCATCATCTCAGCGTCAAGCTCCTCCACGGTCTTGGGCTTGGGACGGTTAGGCTTGGGTCCGCGGCGGCCACCACGACGGCCACGTCCACGAGTGTTGTCGGCAGCCTTGCTGGCAGTGGCTGGCTTGGGTTGAGACTTGGTTTGTCTGTTTTCGGTTAGTACTAGTCCTTTAATAGCACCACTAATATACACATACGCGACACGCTCACCAAGGGGCTTGGCAGCGGGGACTTCGGGGGCATGGTTGGCATCAACGACAACCTCAATCTGCACAACGTTAGACTCAGCCCATCGGGAAAATAGAGAATGAGGTAAGAAACTTACCTTCATGGGACGTCCATCAACAAGGAGTCCGTTCAGATCCTTGGCTGCTTTGGCAGCCGTGTCGGGTTTGCTGAAGACGATGGAGGCGATGCCGCGGCTAGTGCCATTTTGGTTGTAAGTGAGCATGACTCGCTTGACGGGTCCTGCGGATTTAGAGAAGTATTCCTATATCCAGCACACATGATTAGTACTTGTGCTCATGAAGATTTAGTCACATGGTTGTAGACGCTGGCATGAACGAAAGCTCGAGAAAAAAGACGCGTAGGTTGGACCGAGATTCCACAGCGAGAGCATCAGCGAGCACACAGCGGCAGTTAGTAAGACCCTCAAGGGTTAGATGCAACAAGTTCGAAAGCCCGAGACAGTGAACAGGCATCCGAAGTCTGCATCAATGGCCGCCAATATTTCCATTCTACTGAAAGTCGTGTCTTCTTCGCAGTTCCTAATCCACCTCGGCCGGTACCAAGAAAAATCCACTTCCACACTTATTTGAACCAGGGTCGGATCCACCCAACACCATGTCCAAATACAAAGTACCGACGTAGTCAAGACATTATCATTGGTGTGCGGTGAAGACTAATCAGGTTCCCCCAGACACCCACATAATAGCCCATCTCAGGGCGAAGCCAGGCCTAACGGGTCCCACCAAAGTCACAATCGAGGTGCCTCTTCCCATATTACATGGCACACTCAGACAGAGACGATGGGAGAGAAATTTCAGGAGAAAATTGCCTGCTGTATGGACTAATGCCCTACTGGTCTGCTGGTGCGCTCGCTGATGCCCGACACCCGAAGTGCAAATTCAAAAGGTGTGGCCAAGCGGGATGAAATCAGAACGGTGTGTTTCAACTACCATTCATAGCACAGTCTGCAGTGATCTCGCGAACGGATTGCTAAAAGATCCGCTCAAGCATGATACACTTTTCGCAAGACTGCAGGCAGGACTCAACTTCGGCTGACTCGCGAAGTGCTAGATTTCAAATAGCGCGCGAACATGGCTCAAAGGAGTACGCTGCCTTTTCAAGTGACCAAGAACGGTCGCGAAGATATGAGGACGTCGTGACAAGGGTCGGAACGCGTGTAAGAGCCGGTGCGCCTCAAAGGTCTCGAGAAAGAAAGACATGGCGATAGAAACCCAAGGCGAAGGCCTCTTAATCAACATACCTTGATATTGGCCTCATTCACATCGGAAGGCTGGTCACGTTAGCAAAGAGTGTCCTGGCCAAGATTAAGAAACGAGAATCGAGACTTACCAAGCCGCTGACCATGATTTTGCTTTCAGTTGACATAGGGTGTCCAGCTTGGGCAACCTTGCCGGCTGGCTTCGCAGCCCTCGTGCTCTTCTTGACTCCTCCAACGGCGGCCGGGGCAGCCTTAGACTGGGTTGAGCGACGATTGCGGCGACGAGCGCCCTGACGGCGGTTGACGAGGATCTCGTCCAGAGACTTGTCCAACTTTCCAGACATTGTGTTAGGTGAAGAATAGATGAATATGGGCGATACTAGCGACTCTCCAAAGATCCAACAAGTTCGAGCGTGTCAGTCGTTGCGTCACCGAAGAAAGGTTCGCAACAGCAAGGGCGGCGTAAAAGTCTGATTTTGAGACGCTTGCTCTAGCAGGCGTAGCTTGCGCGATAAGTGGTAGATAGTGGAGTTGAACAGAAGTATTAGAGTCAATTTTGCACCACGTTTAGATAAACGGCGCGATGTTGAGATGATAAAAAGGAGAGAAGAGGCAAATGCGGGAAGACAAACAGGCGCGGGTGGAAGTCGAGGGACAACAAGGAAAGACCGGAGGAGAGGCTGAGTTCTGCCGCTAGTCCGCTTTGGGGGCGGTTGTCGCCCCATCCGCAAATAGAAGCGTCACTGACCGACCTGACCGTGTTTAACCAACATCAACACTACGCTCGATTGATACTTTGACACGGAATAACATATATTGACATTCATTATACCTCCAATTCATCGTTATTCATTATTCATGGGTTAATAGAGTCATTTTTAGCATCAATGCCATGGCTCACCTATACAAGTATGGATTAGAAGGCAAAGACCCTCGACCCACTCCAAGAATGATAATGACATGTACCATGTGGTCGATATAGAAGTTATGACAATGGATTGAGACAACGCTGAAATAACCTTGCATACTCTGGAAATCAGGGCCTGCCTCTAAAGTAGACACAAAAAAAATGCAAATGAACCAAACCCCACGTGCTCCACCGGCCGAACTCCAAGAATGAATATATAACAAAGAACCATGCTTTTGGCAGCATTTCAGGGTCGCTCGTAACATCATATTACAGGCATACGTAGACATAGGCTCAATCCGGGGTTCATCGCACTCAGCTCTTTAAGGCTTCCAGTCGGCCTCTCATTTGTTCGAGAGTGGCCTCCTGGTCTTCGAACTGCTCTTCGGCGGCGGGAGTCTCCTCCAATGGCTCCTCGGCTTTGACCGCGTCGACTTGCGCAAGCTTTCCCTGCAAGATCTCCTGCAAGACCTTAGTAACCTCCTCCTCGGCCTCATCCAGTTCATCCTCGTAGAGTTCATTGTCTGGCATCGCATCATCTACCATTTCCTCGATGATACCAGCCCGGACCAGCTCGGTCGAAAGTTGACGCATCGTCGCGTTCAATTCGGGTAGTCGGACGAGGGTGTTGACGTCCTTCATGATCCCAGTCGACTTCTTCAGACTTCCCTGGATCTTGCGCACCGAGAATGCTTCGTTGACCTGCATCTGGACGCTCTGTAGTTGGGCTCGGCTCGTGTGTAGACGGGTGGATTGTTTCCGGATCCGAACCAGTTCGCGAGCAAACGTCTTAGCCTCCTTAGTGGCCTGCTTCGACTGTGATGGATTTCGCTCGGCTCGACGGGAGGCGTTCATAATGTATTGCCGCGTTTTGTTCTCCAAAGTCCTGAGCTGTGCAATATCGCGGTCCAATTGGCGAGTATTGGCGCGGATGAGTGCGTTGCATTTTCTCATCTGTCCATGGAAATCTTGTTAGAATGATCAAGTCTGAGAGCGTAGTTAATCCGAGCATACCTGTGCCTGAGGATCAGGACCGAAAAAGACCGCTTTGAGAGTCTCCATGATGAATCGGGCTAACACACTGATCTCTCTATACTAGACCTTTGATATTGTGGAGCCTATGGCGAATAGCCTGTATGTGAACAGCAAGGGTGGGGAAGATATATAAGGTAATTCAGAAAGGTCGGGACCGTATCGGTACAAGGCTCAGAATACAATATCTATGGACTGGGCCGTTGCAGTAGGTGGGGTTATCAAGGCAGGATGATCTCTCAGCGCACAGGATTCCTCGGCAATGTGGTGAGATAGCCGGGAATGAGCTCAGGTTGACAGCGTTACCGTGTACGTTAAACGGGGTTAAATCACACCGCGAGTTCGATGATCCTCACTTGTGAGTGTAATCAGCATTGTGGTCGATCTCGTTGATCCAGAATCAAACATGATCGTGGCCAGCGAACGGACGATCCAGTCCCTGCTGAGTCAGCGAGCGGTTGTAAGTGAGTGACCGCCTTCCGGTGACGTCGAGTAAATTTGGTGCCCCAGGCAGGCCACAGTCCGCAAACAGGTCAAACAGCGGGCCAGGAGTGAGAGTTCCAGTACTTTCTAGAGCGGATCATCAGCTGTGGTTGGTATTCGTAGGACGAATATTACTAGTACTATTCTTCCCTTACTCACCAAACACGCTTAGTCTCAACCTCTTCAGCTTCCAACTGACCCTTCACGATAATCCTTCCCTTCCACTGGCCAATATATCCCCCTTTTCTCATCTTCACTTCCATTTATCCATACAATCCCCGTTACACATCCCACCTTCATTATGTCTGAGCTTCCCAAGGCCCACCCTGAAGGTACGTAATTCTGCAGACTCCCCCTCTTACCTTTCCCCGCTTTGTTGCAAGTTATGCCAACATAACCTTCCCACCTTGGCGTTCTGTATCGGTTTTTTTTTCTTCTGTTATTTAGGAGAGGGGATAGGAGCAGAATAAGCTCAAAGGCTTTTTCTCGAATCCATTAACGCACTGATTCTTTCCTAATCGGATCGAGGTTCGCTAACATATGGGAACCCTCCAGTCACATGGGCCCAGCGCTCATCTGCCGACGACGCTGAGCGCAATTACCTCTACGTAAACATCAAGGCTTCCGATGTAGCTCGTGCCGGAGCCACCCTCAACATTACTCCCACCAATGTCACATTCGCCGGTGATTCCAAGAAGGGTGTTCGTTATGAAGTCTCCCTGGATTTGTACGCCGAGATCGACCCCGAGAACTCCAAGGTGAACCACAGCGACCGTGAAGTTGAGTTGGTCCTGCGTAAGAAGGAGCTGAAGGAGGAGTACTGGCCCCGTCTTCTCAAGACCACTCAGAAGATCCACTTCATCAAGACCGACTTCGATAAGGTATGGAATGCGACCTCTTCCAACACGACTATGTGCGATACTGATAATTGTGCAGTGGGTCGACGAGGATGAGCAGGACGAGGCTGCTGAGGATGACTATGCGAATAACTTCGGCGGCTTCGAAGGCCTCGGCGGCGGCGAGGGCGGTGGTCTTGGAAACATTGACTTCTCCAAGCTCGGCGCAGGCCTTGAGGGAATGGGTGGCGCTGGTCTTGGTGGTGAAGGTGCTGAGGTCGGCTCGGTAGGTTCCGCCCCTTTCGCAGGCAAAGTTATCAACGTCATACAGTTGCAAATACTGACAACTTGTTCCAGGATGATGATGAGATGCCCGAGCTTGAGGAGGCTGATAAGGACGCTGGGGAGTCGGCTAAGTCCACTAAGATTCAGGAGGTGTCTTAATTATATGCTTAAAAATCATTTGAAACGGGCTTGATCCATGACTTTGGTGACGAATTAAAATAAGATCCAATGAGTTGTATGAGATGATCAGCGATACTACCTATTGCGCTCAGATGTGCGCTACAGTATGATATGCGAGATTGAGAGGTTAGGAAGATGAATCAGTGTTCGGGGGTAATGTACGCATCGAGTGCCCAATGGGGAGGTGTAAACTTACCGGTACCTACTCTTGATGCCGGAGATATCGAGATAGTGCATATATGTAATTTGAGGTTAATTTCCCATTTCGGTGTGTACCATGGTATGTACCAAACGCGCAAGGCATCCGGGTTGTCCAGGAGTACAAAAACGCATTTCTACACATGTTTTCTTCCCAGTCGACTTCGCTGACTTTTTGATATTCGTCAGTGTTAGGACCATGTCTCTTTGTCCTGTAGAACCCGAGGATAAAGCCTTTTGGGAAGATCATAGAACCCTTGTCCGAATCTCGAACATGGGGTAACCACACCGTCTCATTCATTGTCTCTAGTCAACCAACCGCCAACATCGGCGTGTTGGGTCACACTGATGAAAACATCCATACATAACAGTTACATATCATCACTTCACACAACCACAGTTCAGACCCTCCACCCCATCTCTCCTTCGAAACAGAGCCTCAAAGCCGTTTTGAATATGAAAAGCGTCGTCATGGCACGATCAACGCTTTATTTGGCGAAACATCTCTTGATTCTCCTCATAGAGCTCTGAAACCCTTTATTGCGGAGCGAGAAGCGCTCTGCAATTATATAGACTCGTTTATATAAAATGATCTTGCTTTTCCTATCTGTTTGCCCTAATATGTAACTTCAACAGTATTGCAGTCTACGGTGTTCTCAAAATGGCGCGTAATGGTAAGCATATCATCCATCTACTTATGACATCAGCTAACCCTAAGCAATAGATGACATCCCTCAAAACCAGTTAATATACCACAAAGGGACCCACACGGTAGAATACATCGATGGGAAGATAGTAAAGAGCGGGGAGGACTTCAAGATCTATGAGGCCCTCTCGCTCATCTTCATCAATGACAATACAGAGATCCCGGTTCCAAAAGTCCGTAGCATCCACTACGGAGACAAAAGGCTCGACGTCCGCTATGATAGGGAAGGCAAATCAACCAACATCCTCTTGAAAAACGGTAAAGTGTTCGAGCGAAAGAATGATGAAGAAGGACTACCAATTTTGGTTCATTGGAAAAACGATCAAGTCGACAAGATCACCATGGACTTTGTGGAGGGTAAAGCACTTGACATGGTGTGGATGGACTTCACTAAGGCCCAACAAGGTGTTCTCGCCGAGGATTTGAGGCGGTATGTCACCGAGCTTCGTAAGCTTAAGGGTACATATATTGGGGCCCTGAATGATGGGCCAGCAAGGATCATATCCAATTTCCAACAACTTGAAGAGGTCGGGCCATTCAATTCGAGGAAGGAATTCAACAGTTCCCTTAGCGAAAACGGTGTGGCTACGATGATATGTCCATCACAGGACGATTCATCACAAGAAGACGACTCTTCACAGGACGACGATCCACCACAGAAGCACGAGGACTTTTTTTTCACCCATGGCGATATTGTGCCACGCAATATCCTTGTCAATGGTCAGGGAAAGATCACTGCCCTGGTGGACTGGGAGTTTGCTGGGTATTATCCCCAGTACTGGGAGTATAGCAAGGCCAGTCGCGATCCTACGACAGGTTGGAAGAATTTTCTTTGTACTGAGGTTTTCTGTGAGAAAGAAGATTGGGTCTAGTGAGATGAAGACTTCGAATGTTCCGTTCATGGACCTGTACTAGGGCTGTTTCGCGATAGACTGTCCGGGTGGTTCGTGAGCCGGGAAAGGCGCAAATATATATATAATCACGGGGTATACTACCTCTACCTGTTATACAATATACGCTCAGACTTGCGAAACATTCTAGACACAGCAGTAAACAATAAATCAATATCTCGAGTGCTACTAGCAGGCTTTCAGAAGATGTATGGTAATGAACATCGAATGTCGTGCTATACTTGGTCTCCTCTCTGTACCTGGTAGCAACCGGAGATCAAGATACTTGTCTGATGAGCTAATTATTTTGCTAATATGTAACCCAAAAGAAAATAGCCAGTCTTGGCCGCATTTCCCATTACTCGAGAACACGAGAATCAACGTGGTAGGGGCCATGCAGGAAAAAGAATGGAGTAAATGACCCCTTAGTAAGAGCATCAGAACGGTGCCTCTTACAGGGCAAAAAGATCTGTTGGCGGTGCCGCCACAATACGGGAAACAAACCCACACCTCGAAAATGTGGAGGAAGATCAATCCTTCAACTCACCGAAAAGAAAGATCTCCTTCAGACCACCACGATCGTTTCCCTCTCGTCTCGGTAACTGCGAGAGGTGTTCTTTGACCCTTCATCTTTCTTCCCTTCCTTTTTGATTCTTTTTTGGGCAATCCGGCTTTGTTGTTTTCAAAAGCCTCCGCCCTCGCATTTAATCCCCCACCAACGGTTTTCGACCCGTCGACTGTGGGAGGTTCGTTTCGATCAACACCACCGCCACCGCTAGACAGGCGTGCGCTATCTATCCTTATCTGGTCGGGTTTGCAGCGTTTTATCGATAGAGAGCATTAGAGAAAAGGACAAACCGCCATCATGCCTCCCAAGAAGCAGAACAATGAGCCCAAGAAGAAGAAGGCCACGGTCGAGGACAAGGTTTGTCACCCCGATCGCGTGATCGTATAAACGTCACTAACGTTGATTTTTTTTTATAGACCTTTGGCATGAAAAACGTATGTAGCGATCTCCCGATAGCATAATTTCCCCCCTCTTTCAACACCCCCGACGGTCGTCCGAGAGAGAAATCGCCACTGACAGCAAAATCTTTCATCCTACAGAAAAAAGGTGCCCAGGCCAAGAAGCAGATCGAACAATTAAGAACCCAGGAGAAGTCGAACAAATCCGCTGATGTGAAGCGGAAAGAGGCCGAGAAGGCCCGTCGTGAGGCTGAGAAGAAGGCCGCCGATCAGGCGAAGAAGGAGGCGGCCGAGCTGTTCAAGCCTGTGCAGGTGCAGAAGATTCCCTTCGGTGTGGACCCCAAGACCGTTCTGTGTGTCTTCTTCAAGCAGGGCAATTGTGAAAAGGGAAAGAAGTGCAAGTTCAGTCACGATCCGAATGTGGAGCGCAAGGCTGCTAAGAAGGATCTGTACACCGATTCCCGAGACGTGAAGGCCACGGAAGAAGAGAACAAGAAGAAGGATACGATGGACGACTGGGATGAAGAGAAACTGCGCAACGTCGTCCTCAGCAAGCACGGAAACCCTAAGACGACTACTGATAAGGTCTGCAAGTTCTTCATCGAGGCGGTCGAGAACCAGAAGTACGGTTGGTTCTGGGTCTGTCCCAATGGAGGTGACACCTGCAAGTATAAGCACAGTTTGCCCCCTGGGTATGTTGCGCCCTTCTCTTCGCACCGTTTTTGATTAATACTGATTGACTTCACCAGATTCGTCCTGAAGACAAAGGAGCAGCGTGCGGCTGAGAAGGCCTTGATGGACAAGTCTCCGCTCAACACCCTAACGCTAGAAGACTGGCTTGAAAGCGAACGACACAAGCTCACGGGCAATCTGACACCGGTCACCCCGGAAACCTTCGCCGAGTGGAAGAAGCAGCGTCTGGACAAGAAGCAAGCCGAAGAACAAGCCCGCAAGGCCAAGGAAGCCACTGGACGAACATTGTTTGAGAGCGGTAACTGGCGTGCCGAGGATGAGAGCAGCGATGAGGAGGATGACGACGATAGCTTCAACCTGGCTGCCCTCCGCAGGGAGACGGAACGGATCCGGGAACAGAAGGAAGAAGAACGGCTGGCGAGACTGCATGGGACACCGGTACCGATTTCGAACGACGAAACCATTGCACAGGAGGGTGAAGGCTGAGCGTGTGCGATCCCCCCAAGAAACTGCGACGCTTGGGCTTTCGGGCAGCGCCCCCACCCTGGAATCGGTGAACCAGGCCTTTGTCCGGGCCCGCAGTGTTGATCTCCTGGATGATAGATACAATGTTGTTTATCTTTGGTCGCTCATCTTACCGAGTAATCACTTGTATTGGTCTCCTCGACTGAGGGCTGCGGTTAACGTGTGACGTTTTGTGTGTCATCTTTGATCGTGAACTCCGGCCAAGCCGGTTTCATGCCCAAAGATTCTAGAAGACAACAGCCGTGTACACAAGATTGAGATAGATCGTGTGTCGTGCATTTCATGGCGGAGTGAAGGACACCATTTGTTATGTCCAGGTTTTGTACGTAAAAAAGAACGTTCGTTGATGAAATGAACTTAGCGGTTTCTTTTTCTTTTGCCGACGAGGTATTATGATATATGCGCTTCCTGAATATTAGACTTGAAAGTCACCTGCGATAATATAGACACTGGGAGTTTTAGAGGTTGTATAGAGCAAATGTCGTCTCAAAACTGAACATTTTCATACAATCAATCCAAACACGTCCCCCCAACTGACAACAATACAAGGAGAGAGGTGTGTACGATGTCTACAACGAGGCCTTTTCGCCGACCAACTTATTGCCTACCATCAACTTCACCACATCCCCGGCCACTCCGTATGATAACTCAAAGCCTCTCCCGCCAGCCCCATACGCATGGATCACAAACCGCCCATCCCCAACTTTTTCCGTCTCAATCCTCATTCCACCCTCTCGAGCCGGCCTCCTACCTACAATATCGCGAATAACATCAAACTTGCCCTCACTCCCCGGCGCAAACGGGAACCACTTGGCCGCGTTGGCCAGCAACTTCTCCCTCGTCTCCAGCGACGGAGTAGGATCATAATCGCGCGGCTGCTTCGTGCCCCCAATGATGGTGCCGCCAGACAACGGCCGCGGGATACAAAAAGACCAAGAGCCATCGACATTTTGCCTCGTCACAGTCTGGCTGCACGGATTCCGCACAAGACAAGTTTGCCCTAGAAACCACCATTAGCCGCCACACCACGTCGCAACAAGTAAATCCCAGACAGAAAAGGGCTGAATAGTGAAAAACACACCCCGAATAATAAACGACCTCTCATCCCCAAACCCCAGCCCAGAGCAATTCACCACCGTCTTCACATTCGGGGCTAGATAAAACGCCTCCTTCGGATCAATCACCGTATATTCCCTAGCAACTCCACCACCCAGAACGAACTTCCGCAGTAGATACGCACAATATACCGGCGAGTTAATCGTGACCGTATCATATCGAACGCCCCATCTCACACCCGCGGGACATTCGTCGCTCCCTAGGTGCCGGAACCCGTCCAGATGGCCGTAGCTTTCTCGGACGCTCTGTTCGTCCAGATATTCTGCCGGTGGGTTCTCGAGGTGCTCGATCCCTTCTACCACTGCTACGCCCGAGGAGACGTCGCTTGAGGCCAGCTGTTTGAGGTAGCGGTAGGTTTCTTTGGCTTGGGTTTCTTCGCGGACGGCCTGCGGCGTGGAACCGGGCACGGGGCGATAGTGTGCGCCGGCCCAGGGGGAGGCGTAGTTTAGGGATGTGGTGTTGGGGAAATCGCGCGCGATGAGGTGGATGGATTGGTTGCGATTGAGCCTTTCTTGGATACGGAGGGCTGTTGTGAGGCCAATTACCCCGGCGCTTTTGTTTGGGAGTTAGATTTTGAGAGCTGTTTTTTGGTTGTGGAGGTTGGTATAGATTAATGGTGAAAGGACGTACCCGATTACTACGATTGTTTCTTTTTCGGGCATTTTGATTTCGGGAGGCTGTTTGGTGAAATGGATTAAATTGGTTTGTCAATTGAGGTGGGTGTATATAAATCTGTCTTGGGTAAAGGATAAGGCTGACCCCGCATATACATTGATGGGGTATTTATATCTTTAATCGAGTCTAGATCTATGAGAAAATGCCGCAGTTGAGTCATCTTTCTGCTTGTCTTGACCATCTCCACTTTGGGTATACCAATGGTATCAAATTATCATCATTGAAGTCGTATACAGCCTTGCTAGTTACATTCAGTGTCCTCCGTATCTGAGTCCTGAAACCGCTCCTCCGCAGATAATCCAAGCGAGTCCGCGGCGGTATTGGATTGATGATGGATTCCGCCGATAAGGATCTGCCGGTATCGCAGGATTGGAGTCGGATTTGCATTCCTCTGGTCCGACCGTCCCAACCAGATGTGGAATCCGTAGTTGTCAACACGAGATCTTCTAGACCCTTGCACATGCTCACTCAAAGTGGTCAGGCAGCCTCTCAATCACGTATTTCGCTCTTGCGACCTTCATAATCGGCACGCCGGGAATCTTGCGAATCCGGCGAACCAGGTCCTTATCGTTCGTCGCCACAATGTAGATTCTGTGTTTTGTGATCTTCGAATAAGTTAGACCATGTCATCCTACAGCTTCCGAACTCTCCAAAACTCACCCGATCAACTAAACAGTCATCCGCATATGTACCGGGGTGGTCACAGCGCACGCGCGCCCATCTTGGATCCTTAGCCACCCTCAGCGCCAATCGGAACTTATCGCCCAACTTCTCCAATTCCGCAATCGTACAATCCGTAAACGTCGGGATACACTTCGCATATAGCCTATCGAGAATCAGCCATCGCCACCGCAACCACCGTATGGTAGCATCGCAACACACAGGTCCATCATAGATTTCAGCATATCCGTCTTCGCGCGAATAGAGTGCGACACAAAGTTGGTATCCACCAGCACATGGTAGGGGGGTCCGAGGGCCGTGTTGGCGGCGAAGAACATGTTCGACGGAGCTTGGGGAATCGCCCGCACGACCTCGTCGCCCTTGGCCTTGTCTTGCTTTGGGGCGTTGTTGTCTTTCTTGGCGCGGTCATCGTGCTTTTTGATCGCCCGTTTGACCTGGTTTCATGTCTGGGATTAGTTTTGGTGATTCTCTGGTGGTTTTGATACGGCGGTTGGAATTGCGTACCTGGGCGAACTTGCGGGTTTTCTTCTGGACACCCATTTTGACGGAGGATAATTAATAGAGATGCGGACTCGGGGTATATAGAGGAGGAAGATGCGATTAAATAAGGTATATGGCAATCATTAAATCATTAGCAGGCGGCTGTTGGTTTGATGCTGTCGGCTTTTCACTTTCATCGCTGTTGAAAATGTCGACCGGACCGATGTTTTGCCGACGTTATCTTATCGAGGTGTAGACACCTTGAGAGTAAGGCATTGCTTAATATTTTTAATATTTTCCGCTACATTAAATGCTGCTAAACTACTGTCCCTCCTGCAACACTCAGGAAGCACTTTACCAAACGCACATAGCTCTGTATACTACTACGAATTGCAAGGAGCGACTGGTGAATTTAAAGGCAGAATACATGTTCTGCGATCGCCACGCCACCTAGTAGTGCCAAATCAGGTCCCAGGCAGCCCTGTTGGGTATCCGAAAAGACACAGTACAAGTCCAGTAGATCTAGACTGAGTACACAGCGTACACAGCGCAACGCCGAGCCTCACATCACTTCCCATTGAGATTCTCTACCGGACCATCCGTTACATAGATCCAGACGAGCTCGAAGAGGTACGGCTCGTATGTCGTTCCCTAAACGAGATCAGCAAACCACAGATTTTTGAATGCTGGGAAGTTGTGCCATCAGAGAGGAGCTGCGACCATTTTACTGAGGTCGTTGAGCATGATTGTGTACAACATGTGAAAAAAGTCTTTTTCAACCTGGGGATACTCTTTGGTGTTAGTTTCCCTTCCCTGTATATCTTTTGGGCAAGGAAACTAGCATCTGCACCCAGTTTTTAGGTTATCATAGGCTCAAGTTCCCCTATGGGATCCCGGATGAGAATGACGGAAAACCCTTTCGCCAATGCGTAGAGCTTTTTCATCGTCTAAAGGAGCTTCCACGACTCCAGAGCGTGGCACTTCGCTTCGCAGGGGGCATTGGAAATTGGACTATGTCTAAGACGCTGGAATGCCGCTCAGTCATGATCAATGAGTTCATGTCGGCGATTGCAGCACTACCTGAGCCACCACGAGAACTCATTTTTCAAAGATTCATGGATGTGAACGAGCCCAACCCCGACGTGGCGGAGAACATCCAGAATGTCCTAAAGAATCTGCGTTCGCTCCGCCTAGGCCTCGCCCATTATGGCCACAAAAGCTTAGGGTCTTCTCCACACGTTTGTACACACGTTTCAACGCTACCTACCGTAGACTAACCTGCTGCCAATAGAAAGCCGAAACCCAGCGTTTCTTTTCCACAATGCCGTCCTTCTGGCTGAAGCCCACTCTCCAAAATTTAGAAAAGCTCAGCCTTGGCCATCTTGATTTCTGGGGCTACTACCCAAAGCTCGATCTCCGTGGTGTACATTTCCCGCAATTGAGGATTCTCGAATTGACCAGATATACTTTCGTCCACGACTCCCAGCTAGACTGGATCCTCAGTCACCGCAACACTCTCACCGAACTCAACTTGTATGAGTGCGCCATCGTCTGGAATATCAAGGAAACAGACAATAAAGAAATGGCCTACCTGGATCTGGATAGTTACACGACCCGTACTGGAACACGGCGAAGTCGCTACGCAACTTACGATAAACGATGGCACGATTATTTCAAATCTTTCCAAGACCTGCCGCACCTCCGGCGTTTCCAATACGCGGGTGATGAAGGATATACTCCATTCGAAGAGGAGGAACCCACCGAGTTAGGTATGCACCAAGCAAGCTACATGCTTTATAGGTCAAATGGTTATGAAGAACCATTTTTGTACCGTGAAGACTCGGGGCGCGACCTGAACTACGTGACGCAATGGATAATAGAGGATGAGAATGGCTTGGAGGAGCTCTATGCGAAGCTATGTATACGTGCTCGATCATGAGGAAAAGGTAAGACGTGCTCAGAAAATCTCAGGCGAGCGGAGGTCCACCTCACCGTAATGTATTTCCAAATAAAAACCACCATATCAGGGCAGAACCCCCCCCCCCCCCCCCTGCGAGATCTACATCCAACTTCCCTGGTAATACGTATTCCGGACCAGTCCAGAACCGACCGCCCGATTGGCGCCGTAAGCCCAGATTAAGAACTTACGAAACCACTTTAAGATCTGCCTAGTCTGATAAGCATGCGTCATCGTGTTCGTGGCAATCTCATGGTGTTCATGAACCAGTCCACGGCCAAGCCCGAGAGTCCGCGTACACGGGTAAGGAACACCATCCATCGCGATCGGGTTGTTTCACTCCCGAGGCCGAAACCTAAGCCCTACTTCCTAGTTGTACGAGGTATTGTGTTTCCGGACGGGAGCTCAGGCCCTCTGCGTATGAAGGGATTGTCTGGGATGAGTTACGTAAAGAGTTCTTGGGGGGCAGTGTTAGAGTGGTAAGGGCCTCTATTCTCTAATCAGGGATTTGTAGCTTGCGAACTGTTGTTTTGTGGCGGGGGGGTGGCGATCTTTAGGTTTGGAGGCTTGGGGCGATATGTTATAGTCTTATAGATACCGGTGGTGATATCGTTCTTCGCGCTACTGTATCTACAATAGAGTATAGTAGCGTGAGCTGTTCCTGTCAGACGACAGAGAGACAGCATGGCTTCATATCTGGGTATATTCTCCGAAGGGGTGGCCAACATTGCATCGCGTCAGATCCTGATCTGGACCAACATGCATCCACCGTGTCTAACGCGTTTGAACTGAAAGCTACACAAACATGCATACAGGGGAACCTATGCTCTACACATCACAAGATACTCCGTTGCAAAAACAGCTGCTCTGAACGCGTAATTGAGGCCACGGAGCTGTCCAGCAAGTCCCTGACAAGGTATCAACACATACACTCGATCTGGAAGATAAATAGCCCCCTTCTCCCCCTTCCATCGAGACTATATCCATCACCAACAACCGCATCCTCTCAACCCTCCAAAGTAACTCCGGACCAGCCCTCAAAATCATCCCAAGATGAAGCTCCCTGCCTCCCTGATCCTCCTTCTTCTCGGCGGTGCCATCGCGGCTCCCACCGTAAGTCACTCCCCCTCAACTCTACGATCTGCATCTATCTAACCCCAGTACAGGACCTCTCAGGCAAGGAGCCCGATTATGAGGTCTGCAAACTACCCCCCGACCACAAGGGCAGGGTTCATCTCGGACACGATGGCGTCTTGCGGGAGTTCGACGGTGAGCTGAAGGTCAAGGCCTTCTGGCCTCTCAGCCCCAAGCAGATCAAGGAGTTCCATGACCGCTTCCCCAAGGAGGAGCGGGATAGACTGCACAAGGCGTTTGAGGGCGTCGATGGCTGGAACGTAAAGGATATCGAGAAACTTCTGTATCCGGACGAGAAATACTGGCCTAAGTTTGAGGGCCATGAGAAGGAGAAGAAAGACAAGTGGAGGCGAGGAGGCGGTGAATGGTGGGATAAGGACGGGCATGACGGAAAGGACGGACATGACGGACATGATGAGTATGACGGGCATGACGGGTATGATGGAAAGGACGGGCATGATGGAAAGGACGGGCATGATGGACACGATGGGCATGATGGACATGAGAAGTGGGAAAAGGAGGTGGAACAAAGAGAAAGAGAGGAGCACGAGAAAGCAGAGAGGGAGAGGTATGAGAAAGAAAGGCAGGAGAAGGAGGCAAGGGAGAGGTGGGAGAAAGAAAAGTACGAACGGGAAGTGAAGGAAAGGGAGAGACATGAGAAGGAAAGGATAGAGAAGGAGAAAGCAGAGAGGGAGAGGCAGGAACGAGAGAGGCAAGAGAGGGAGAAATGGGAACAGGAGAAGGCACGACAAGAGAAGGAGAAGGCTGAACTGGAACGACAAAAGCACGAGAAGGCAGAGCAGGAAGAGAGAGAGAGACAAAAGGAACACAGAGAGAAAGATTGGGAGAAGCATGAGAAGGAGGAAAAACAACACGAGCAATTGGAAAAGGAAGAGAAGGAAAGACAGAAGAAGGAAGAGTGGGAGAAGGAGGAGAAGGAACACAAGGAAAAGGAGAAGGGAGAGTGGAAGAAGGAAGAGGAGCATGAGAAGAAGGGAGGATGGCCCGAATGGCCCAAGTGGCCCAAGAAGGAGGAGCACGACAAGGACTGCTAGAAGCATGGTGAGTGAGGGAGCAGGGCATGAAGAAGGGCTTCTGTCGCTACTGAGTGATGCTTACAGCTCTTGGGCATAGGTTGTGACCTTATGCTGAGACATAATTCTACTTGGTGGGCACAAGTAATTGGGCAAGTTGTGGGAGATTGCGACTTTCGGTTTTTCTTGACTTTGTTCATCTGGTCACTCATTTGGCTTCGTGATATTTTGTTTGGAATCTTGTGAACTTTGATTCCCACACTCCTAATAGGTTTCTTGAGCACTGTCGGATCTAGTCTATCTCTATCCAGAAGATGATGTTATACCTTGATGCCTAGAATATCATTCGTAGTATATAAGGAAAAATAGAGGAGCCATGGTCTACAGTTCATGAGATCAGTATGTTCGCCTCCTCAAGATTCCGCCTAGCGGTCTCTGGGAGTCGAAAATAAACCCATATTAAGCCTAATATTGTAACCGCGGCAAAGAGCCAGAATGTCCCCTCAGGCTGCAGTGCATGCTCAAGCAACATGGACGGAACTGCCTAGGGTTATGTTAGCCATCTACATGCGGTTCGAGCGCTAAAGAACTGTACCTTAGACAGGCCATATCGATTGGCGAAATGGAAGCACATGAGTGCACTGGACCCTACGGTTCTCACAGATAGCGGGAGAATCTCTGCGTTTATGAGGTACTGAATCGAGTTCCATCCCAGGGCCCAGCCCACACCCGTGAGATAGAGACAGACGATGGCGGCGATGGCTGCATTGTGCTCTGAATTTGAACTAATGGGATGGGTGGATGGCAATGCCACGGTTAGATAGATGGCAATGTAGAGCATAGCGATGAATTGAATGATAATTCCTGTAATCAGAGGGCATTTCCGTCCGGTATAGTCAATCAGAAATACCGTGCATATAAGCGATGCAACAAATTTGACGGCACCTAAAATGGCGGTGCACAGGAGCTTCTGGGACTGGCCCGTCTCTCCGAGAAGTGAAAAGAGCTTCGGAGCGTAAGCTGCATCATAGTTGGTTATCGATCATTTCGTTTTATCTGGCCTCAGAACTCACTGGTAACGGATGTGGCACCAGACCACTGGCTCAGGACCTGAGTGATCGCCAAAAATGTCAATCTTGATAGATTGGATTTGTCTGTGATAAGTTGCTTTATAGCCCTGCCCAAGCGCTGGGTCCTCGTGCCCGCTGGTGTGTCTCCCATTTGGTTTAGAATACCTTCGAATTCGTGCTGAATGCGTGGGTCGTGGATTGGTATATTCCATAACCGACTTAGGGCCTGGGTACCGTCGGCAAAGCGTCCGGCTTTACAGAGATATCGGGGACTCTCCTCACAGGCGAACGACGAAAGCAAAAGAATGCCAGAAACTATAATCTGGATAGACTGTGGGATTATCCATTGTTTTGAGCTGTTGTTGGAGATGTGCATGGTCGTTCCCCAGCTTGAGAAATACTAGATTGATCCCGGTTAGTCACCGTAGTCGGGTCTATCGTGAGGGATGAGAGCATGCTAACCCCTATCATAATCCCCATGTACTCAGATGTAGCGAATGTGCAGACCATAAGTCCTCGGAGCAACGGGGTAGCCACCTCAGAGAGATAGATGGGTACGACGACCCCGGCTTGTCCAATCCCTAACCCCATGATGAAGCGACCAGCATAGACCTGACCAATGCTCCCCGCAGCTGTAATAACCATGACTACTCCAGCTGCCCACATAATACACAGCTGTCGCATAGTCCAGAGCATTCCGACGTGCTCACACATAATGAAAGCCAATAATGCTCCGGGAATACTTCCGATATGAACCATAGAGGTTATATTGGAGAGCCGGTTGGCTTTCTCCGATGCACTAAGGTCGGCATCCTCAAGGTGGAACTGGTGAATAAAGGAGGGTTGAGCTACTGTGGTCGATATGAGGCCTTCATCCAGTCCTGGAATTTGTCAAACGGTACTCCTGTAGAAAAAGCCATGTAGCTTACCTCGAGCCATCCCAAGGAGTCCAAAAGAGAAAACTGCACATAACAGTTTTACCGTTAACGTTCGAAGAAAACCGATCTGTTTCATTTTGACGGTGGTCAAATAGTTTCATTCTGCTTCTATTTTCTCCCTACGCCAAGATTATAAGCCAAGGCAACGCTAGAGCTTTCATAATAATTTGCGCAGGAGAAGTGGACCCAAGGGGGGGCCCGTGTCAGCCCTACAGTAGGGCTGAGTTGGAATATCCTCAGGGGCGTGAGATATGATAGGGCAGCCCCCTGGCATTAGATATCGCTAACTAATAACATGAATTTCATTGGTCCAGCCCATCATCCTCCATGTTCTCTGTCGGTTGCCCCCGCCAAACCAACCAGGCAACAGCAATACAAGCCTTGCACAAAACTGCGGTCCAAAACGCCCCCATTAGTCCAACCGGGCTCTTGGCCCACAGACCCCCCAGCATCGTCCCAAGCAGGAGACACACCACTGCCCCGCCACGTCGCCTGTTTTCCACTCCATGTAACATCGACAAGGGGGGAAGCTCCGGGCTGGAGAATAAGTCGCAATACACACTTGTCAACACCACGCTAGTGAGACCATTGAACTGCAGGGCGCGACTCGTCACTGCCTGACCACTACTCTGAAAAGCGACCAGCATCAATGGAACAATCACCTTCCAGGTTAAAGGGGAGTCCCTAGAAGTTTGGTGGGTGGTCACGATCGTAGCAGCTGTGGCTACGCAGAGCATCTGGATGGTAAATGAAAGACAGAGCACCCAGCGCCTGCGAGGAGAGAATCGTCGGTGAAAAGAGGCAAAGCAGAATGAGCCCACACAAAAACTGGCGATTGAAGTCAATGCTCTGAGCCAGCGAGTGCTCTCATCGGCCCCCATGAGGCCGAGCCCTAGGTAGACAGTGTTGCCGGTCTGCATGCTCACGAAAGAGCCCCAGACAAAGACGGCAGAGCTGTCAAGTAGCCCAGTGATCACGTAACAAAACAGAAGAATAAGGTCCCCATGGTGAGGATTTATGTCCGAGGTAAGGTGGTTGATAAGTCTGTGGCGACGGTATTTCTGGAGTGGAGTATTAGAATCGGCATCGTTTCCTAGTAACCGGTCGGTTTCGTGTGGAGTGTGGGAAGCCATTGCAATCTAGATAGAGGAAGCTTGGATAGAAAACCAGCGCAATTTGGAGGAAAGTAAGATTTACCCTGCGCATAAATCCTTACCGTTCCGTTCGCTTGGAGGTGGATCCGGTGGAAATTATAAATTATCAGGAACGCGTCACTGCTCAGTTTTAACTCAGGCACCCACAATTGGAGTCCCCAGGCACTCAATTCAATTCACATGACTCCCCGCACCCTAATGCTTGCTGTATCTAGCGATCACGTGCGAATGTTGTAGAGATACTACACATTTGCTTTTCTTATTTCTTTGTGTCTTGAATATTGATATAATAATCTGGTATTCCCATGAATTCGCCGGGAAAGGCGAGTGTTGAGTACTTTGTAGCTGTTGTTTTAAAGCTGAAGTAACTCGTATCAGGGACGTAGCTATGGTCCTGTATGCAGTGAATGGGAACCATGATGATTCTGTTGCCGCCTAGTTCCCAACCCTGCCTGGCCCACCCTGCGCATTAGTGAATCTGAGTACGTTGTCATGTTTTGAATAAATTCTAATGCATTTCCATTACAGCAGTAGCTAAAATTAACTTCGTATGAGTGAAAGCGGAGGCCAAGGGGCCCCCTCTCAACAGATGTCTCGTCATTATCAACCAACTGGTGTATTTGCTGAACACCCTCCCTTGGCCCAGCTACTTGGCTGACACTCAAGATCTGCTGGACAATCTTTATCACCATTACAAAAGGCCCCTGCCTTGTCAGTCTTAAGCCAGCACCATGGATCACCCTTTGTCCATTCTTCCTTGACGGGTTTCGAGGTTTTTGGGTTACATTTGCTCCAGCATACCCCTTGTATGCCATCCATTATGGCGCAACCGCCGGAATCTGGCTCTGACCTTCCGCATCCACCTCGAGCCCAACTACTTGGTTGACATTCGAATGTGTTTGGACAGTCTGTCAGATGGTTGCAAAAGGCACCTATACCCTTATGTTCAAGCCAGCACCATGGATCACCTTTTGTCCACCCACCACCTACGGCCTTGCCAGTGATGGGATCACATTTGTTCCAGCATACACCTTGTTTCCTCATCAAGCCACAACCATCCGCAGAGGTAGGTGCTGGATTTGTCGGGCGGGTAGTAGAAGTGGTAGACGTGGTTTTCGAGGTGGTAGTGGGGTCAGGCTTTGAGTCGGAAGTCGGCTTGGCCGTTGGGAACACCGGCACGACCATCGTTCCTGAATAGCTTGGGATGATGACCATGGGCACATTGCCTATTGTCGTACTGACCTGTTCGTTGCCGCCCACGTTCGGCACCCGGATAGTCGTGCCATCGACGTTGATGGCACCCCCCGTTACCGTATATGGTTCGCCCCCGACGATGACAATTTCTGGGATACTGGTAGTGATGGTCGAAGTCGTTCGGGGGGGGATATCCATTCGCCCCCTGGTCGTCATTGGGATCAATCTTGACACCTGTCGGGCAATACTTGCCCGTTGTTGTGGCCGAATTGGTTACTGAACATCCAGCAAAAGTGGCCGTTCTTGTGGTGGAGCAGCTGGTGCCAGAGCAAGTGACCCAGTAGTTGGTCGCTGTTTGCGTAGTGCACTCCTCGCTAGAACTGCTACCACAGTTCGAGGTACAGCGATGTCCGCACCCGGGACTATTGATATCGGTACAGGTTGGGGACGGGGCCTGGCTACTGAAAGTGGTTGTTGGAAGGAATCGGTTGGGGGGACAGTCGATTGAGAATAGATCGAATAGTTTGAAGCATGATGCGGTTGGGATGGGAGGAAACGAGGGCAGTGGAGGCACGGGTATATGCCCCGGCTTAGGGGTAGGCTTGGGTACTGGAGACCAATAGAAACCCCCGGCCTGGACCCATACCGGAACAACTGTCGTCGAGGTAGCGGAGGTGGCCGCTGAAGTCTGGACAGGGAGTGTGGTGGTTATGACTGTAGAAGTTGCGAGATCGGAGAGAGACGGGAACTGTGCCTCAGAGTAGATGTACGTCTCCCCATTGGTGTAGTATTGGGTTGTTCCAAGAGACGTAAATTCCTCAACAATTCCACCGTCCGGTGGGTTCGACCGGACAGAGACTGGAGGCAGGAAGAGTGTGGTGGAAGTACCGCCCGCCTCCAACGTGACGGGGTCGGGAGAATAGCTTGGAGTCAGGTAGAAGGAGAAGGGTCTCGTCTGCCCGCCGCCGACAGGCATATTGAAATAACTCATCGCTGTGGTGGTAACTAGCCGCATAATCATCAGTAATTGGTTATGGTAACAACATTGGGGCTCAGGGTTTGGTCATGCTGGGGCTGGGGTAAACAGTCTTGATAGTGGTTGGTCCTAAGGCAATGGACGTAGGCACTGGTAAGAAATAGATAGTCGTTGGGCCATTTAGGAGAAGGTCTGGCATTATCAACGTGCAAGGCGGAATGCACCCGACAACAGGGGAAGGTTTCAGGAAGATGCCTGGATCTACATATACCTCACCGGAGCCCTTACCATCGCCTCCAGTAGAGGTAGACACGGCACATGCACCTTCGGGGCAGTATCCATACTTGCAGGTGAACTCGCAAAGGGGCCCATAAACAGCTTCATCCATCCCTGGGCCAGCTTCACCAACCATTTCTGTTGCATCAGGGAGTGTGTGAAGAGCACCTTTGGCAGTACATGTGCACGCATTGATAGGGCAGAATCCCAAGTTGCAGGCAAAGTCACAAAGGCCGGCGAGATTGCCTTCCCCTGTGCCACCAATGCATGCCGGAGGTAGGAAGGGTGAAACAGTGGGAGTGGACAGCGGTGCAGAGACGGTGTTGCATGCGGTATCTGGACAGAATCCATGAGGACAGTCAAACGCGCAGAGACCGCTATAGCTGGCATCGAGTCCTTCCCGAGGATAGCCCATGGGGCCGGTCGCATTGGGTGTTTTACGTGGTTCGCCTTGGAGCTGGCAGTAACAGGCACCGAGAGGACAGTAGCCATACTTGCAACCAAACTCACATAGGCCAGCAAAGTTATCGGCTCCGGTGCCATTGACACATTTCTGATTGAAAAGGTTCGTTTCCGGCTTCGCATTGACGCTCTCACTGGCACTGGAACTGCCGACCCAGGCATTCCAATTTGTCAACCCCTTCACACAATCCGTGGATATGGAGCTGCCCCGGACCTGGGCAATCTGCTTCCCAGAGCGCGATAGGGTGACGACGACGTCCCCCAAGCTAGATCCGAAAGGAACACTACCATGGTAGATACCGACACCTCCATCTGGTTGCCAAGTCCAGCTGGCTTCCTGAGAAACTCCACCGATACTGACGGTGATGGTTGCCGGAGCACTGAGGAGAGCAGAGAAGAAGATGTGGTCCTGTACGATCTCGGTTGGATGAAACTCAATTTGAAGTTGACTCGCAGTGTTACCAGAGGTTCCCCCTGAGTTGCATGCGGACGCAGGCTGCGGTCGATGCCAAACAGTCAGCCCCTCTTTATTGATTGTCGCTTTCCCGTATTTATAGGTATCGATCAAAAAAGGAAGAAAGAGCCGCCAGCCATCATGAGGCATGTCCTCAACATAATTGTAGGGAGCTCGGCCAATGTCGAAGGCCTCCATGGCATAGTCTCGCAGTGGTCCGATATAGTGAGACTCGCCATAGTCGTTCCAGGAGATAATTTGAACGAACGGTGGCTTGAGATACCAAATTTCCTGCCACCGGTCATACCACAAGTTGTCCCCACTAAAGCAATGTCTATGTTAGCTATCGGAAAAGAAGCATGCGATGACTGCAGAAGAGGCACCACTCACCGCCACAGCCAATTCTTCTTATATCCCGGAAGATTCGTATAGAACCATGGGGAAGCCGGCATCATGTAAGGAAGACCATCGAGATATTCGGTGTACGAAGCGTCAACATAAGTGTTCATTTCTTGACCTCCCCATGGCCAAGCGGCCCAGTTGAAAAGACCGTCCGCTGTGCCCAGCTCTATTGCTGGCTTGGCTCCCAAGGACGACCAGTCTGGCACAAAGAAGCATCCTGTGGACTGCTTGATGACAAGCCAATCATCTGAATTTGCAGGACCTTCAAAGGTCGATACTAAGGGCTTGCCCTCGTAGTGGTAGTAGGAAGCCTTCCCACCGTAGTTGTTGATCATATTGATCACGTCGCTCATCTTCCAGGGCCCATTACCCGCATAATCAAAGGAAAAGAATAACTGGAACCCATGTTTCTCGGCTTGTTCAAAGAATATTGATACCGCTGCATCGTTGACGGGGTCGTCATTTGCCATATTCAGGGCAAAGGCATCGATGTGGGCTTCTTTGGCTTTGGCAATATCATCATCAAAATCACTTCCCGTATAGTTTCCAGTATTGCCGATCTAACATCAACATCAGCACTTCGTAGCTGCCCCTGCCTCTTCTCGGGGTCATAACATACCATGAAATGAGCAAACACGGCTTTGCCATGGCTGGTACCTGCCAGAAGCAAGGTCAGCAGGATCGGCCACACCAACATTGCGTCGGACGGGATAGAAGCGTGATGTCTCAACCGAGAGAGCCAAAGGCGATATGCTATCGCAACCTTATATACTTTTCATGAGGCCGGTGGTAGAGTTCTGTCTTGGGCTGTCTTAGCCGAGCTCCATAAGTAAGCACACTCAGTGTCTCTCTCGCACGTAATGAAATTGCCTCCTGAGAAGCCCCCACCCAAGTAAGATTTGATTCATTCTCACCATATTTCATACTCTAGTGGCAGCGCATGATGTTGTCCGAACGCCAAGAGCTTGGTCATAAAAAGTGACGGTGATTTTCGGATTTTCCCCTAGCGCGGCCCACGTTACATACACTAAGAGACGGTCCGAACAATAGCGTCGCACTAATCAATCATTAGGCGTTCGCCCTTAGACTCTCTACATACTTTGAGAGCTAAGTTTTAATTGCTCTGGGCCCCAGTGGGACGAAGATCCGGAGTAGGGAAAGTACCTTACAGGGCTTGAACTGGGTAGCGATATCATTGGCTCATCTCGAACAACAGGAAGCTCGACCAAAACTATGAAACTGTACCTGCGTCCCCACGCTAGCATGTCCGAGTTTTCTCTGTCCCCCTGGCCAATGCCTTCTGTATGCTAATGGAATTCAATTTATGACTCAAAGTACGCTATTCACGGTCGATTGGAGGGAATGTGACCCGAATACTCATTCCCACCTTGGGTGTTTTCACACCAACCATGAACATTCGTAGGTCCACTTCATTTCGCTTAGAGATAGACCGAGAAGTATTATGCTCCGAGAGTGGGATCAGTACTTGCGAGCATCCGGCAGGGTCCGGAGCGCTTCTTCTCCACGCATAATCATGAAGTTCCAGTCTAGGAAGCCGTGCTTTCCAATTTGTGCATGGTACATGTCTTGGTCACCCGGTCTCAGAAAGTCTCTCAAGTCTGAGAGGAGATTCTCTTAGCATCCGTTCCATTACCCCTAGTTCAGGTAGGACTCCTTAATTTGGTTCTCAGCATTCATGTGGACACCACAGAACTCCAGTCAATAGTATACATAACTCGGGTCCGGCGCCTGTGGGTGTCTTGTGTCCTAATCGCTTTCCGTTCTTTTGCACGCTCCATTCCAAGTTCAATATCACCAAGACCCGATCGTTTCCACCCCATCCTATATGGCGCAACGGACTCTCAGTGGCAGGACAACACCTGCGGCCAGTCTTTGGCGTGCCAGGACCTTCGTGCTTTTCCTCTTAGCGACCCTTCTCCTATTTGCTTTCCCAGTGAAAGGGTTGCACACGCATGGACGGGCTCATCGGCACTCGCGCGTCGAGCGGGCACCGCACAAACTAGTCGCTCGGGAAAGTGACTGGGATATATTCAAGAGGAAAGGGCGGATTCTCCATTGTGCGATGGATGGTGACCAGGAAGCTGCAAACCATGCCATCCCTGCCGCACCAATTAGCCCGTGGACAAACTATGGGGACTTGATAAGATACCGATGGAAGTTGGGCGGAACGAGAGACCCGGATGAGACAATGGCCCAGGATCTTCTTCAGGACATTTTCGAGGAACTTAACATTGATGCAGACCAAAACAAGATGATAAAAATTGATCAATCACTACCTGTAACCGTTGACAATAAAAATTATGAGGTAGGCAGTCTTCCAATTCTTGATTATGGTTATCACCTACTGACAACCTTTAGGAATCTGGAGCAGAATATAAGAGTCTGTTCAATGCAGATGCTGGACTGATCGTGGTGGACAATGTTATCAGCCCGGAGCATGCGAAGAGAAAAGGAACACCCATGGAAGGTATTGTGCCCCTAAGGCAGTGGTCCGATGTGACATTCCTCCTCTGGGAGCGATTTACCAAGGGTGCTCCCGGGGGATTGCGGCATATGTTTCAAAGTATAGTCATCAACGAACAATCGTTGAGTACTATGCGGCAAGCCGTTGGTGAGGCCGATAACTTCGACGACTGGGATAAGTATTCGCCAATGCAGGAGAACGGTAGAACCTTCCGGCCAGGCTCTGATGAGTACTATGCTCTGCTCTACTGTCCGAATGGTCGCGGTATTGGCTGGCTGTTGACTCAACATAAGGCCCAACTAGGTCTTCTGACGGTTTCCTCAATTATGGTGTTTGGAGCGGATGGCGAAGCGATGCTGTACTTTAAGATTGACCCCGTTGAACAAAACAATTAAACAGGGGGTAACATTACCTGCGGTTTATTAGAAAGACAGAGGGTTGCTTCTGTATCTGAATTACATTTTCGATTGAATTAGCTGCCTTGAGAATAGAGTTGTTTCTACCCTCCGCGTATGGCGAAAAAGGACATCAATTTCAGTGCAGCATTTTGTACTCGATGCGGTAGATTACGGTGAATGGAGTGTAAGAAGTATTTGTATTTTTGAAGCAGCCCTTTGGACATTTTCATGGAAAACTAGGAAAATGTATAAAAGATCTGATTTCTAGTCTTGGAATTGAGCACCTGCTTCAATAGCGGACTGCCGTCTTAGCAGTTCGTCCCAATCCTCTTCAGTGAATATAGAGGACCAAGCGAACCATATTCGGTGTGAAATCAATCTATTTGGAAAGCCCAGGGCGTCCATTCTGGCACCATCCCAGAATACAAGGCCATATGGACGAAAGACCGACAGACTAAGGCCTTTGAGGGGCGATCTAGGATCGTATTTACACGACCATAAACACCGCATACCCCTGGACGATCGCCTGTTGCTCAGGTCATTATCCATAATATCTGAGATGTCCATTTGCGCAGTTATCACAGTTGTATAGCATTGACAACAATGATCATAATCCTCTGAAGCCTTGGCATATAGCAACCAGGAATAAATGTTTTCACGTCCGTCTGCCTGTTGATCTAGCCAGTGAAGAAGAGTTGCTATCTGCTCCTCCTGGCCTTCGGCAGAGCGCTCCCAGAGGACTTTCCTCCAAAACATTTCCACATTGTTGTCCAACAAAGCGCTGACAGTCTCACCGTCTTCGATGGCCAGAGAACATTCAATATGTTTTTTCCGCAGCTCGTAAAAAAGAACAATACATAAGAAACTACTGAGTAGCCTTTGCTCTTCAACCCATGTCGGTGGGCCAATATCAACAGGAGTGTATGGAATACCCCGCTGGGGACGTCGGCTGAGATCAAGTACCGGGCGTGTAGAGTAAAATAATGTTTTGCGAGGCAAATGCTCTAGCTGCAGCTGGAGGCACCTTTTGATTGTAGAATGGAAATATGCGTGGATAAGACATCGCAGTCGAGGTATTAGGCGAAGGAGCCGATATAAAATAGCCGAGGGTGTTGACGGAGATATTGTCTTGAGATTAGAAGGGCATTCAAGGCGACGCTCTTGAACGTAATGTAAAATGCCAACGATATCCGTATCTATTTCCTGCATTGGGGTCCAGACGAGGATAATGAGTCGTATGATATCCTGAACATGTGGCGCCAGCCCCCTTTCGCGGACCGGATTGGCGATAATCGCATCCACGATCCGGGCAAAAAGCTCATTATTCTGGTGTAAAAATCCCGCAATATCCGGTGACGCCCTGCACAGGCTATGCAGCGCTGGTAGACTGGGAAGGTTTGATAGGATCCTTTGCAGGACAAACCAGGGAAGTCGGCCGAATGGATCGGTACCCATTTCTTTTGCTTTTGCTATGGATCTGAAAATGGACCGGAATATTATCGGTAATGAGAGATGAGAGTATCCGTTAGTAGCCCTGTTCAGTCCCAAGTTAGGCGATGAAACCAAGAGCAGTTGAAAGACGCTGCCTCGTACAGGAAGGAGGCTCACTTTAATCTCCCACGGCTGACCGGAAAATGGAGTATGTGGGCGGCGCCAAGCGAGCCGGCCCCGGAACCATCTCTTTAGTCAAGTCGCTAAGGTAAATGGAAGTGAAACATCAACTCCAAGCAGGGTAGCATTGTAGCTTTTAGTGCCTGCCAATAGTTCAAGGTAGACCCATGGATCTAAAACTTTTAACCCCAGCGGCAACGAATTGGTTTGAGTATCTAATTTCCGCCCGTTCCGCCGTAGTAGGGTTTGATTGCCTCTCCAACGCTCTAGCTAACTAGCAGTAGGCAACAGGTTGGATCTGAAAATATACTTGACAAGACCCTACATAGTTGTCGACAGTATTCGTTCCTTTCTGCCCATTCCGGCTCTTTTTTTCCTTCTTCCATTCCCCCATACAGCCCCAGAAACCTATCTGTCTTGAGAATGTTGTTCACAACTTCGCTTCTTCACCTAGCAGCCATCTTCTGCTCTTTGACTCTAGCGACAGCATCGGCTGACTGTCTCTCAGAGCTGACTTACAACGAGTTTGCATCATTCAATGGGGCACCCATCACCTTCAAGTACGGATTGCTCAACGCCACAGCCTGTGGACAGTACTGTGAGAGAGTCAAGGGATGTCAGGCATGGTCGTATGTTGAAGGGGGCGGCGAATGCGATCTATATTCCTCACCAGCTCTGTCCACAACCGTCATCCATCAGTTTGCTCATGGACGTTGTTCCGACAGCCCCGTTGAGCAGAATTAGCACATGGGAGTTGTTGTCGGGTTCTCCTGGAAGACAGCAGACAAATCAGTATCATTGATCTCGGAATCGTGTCAAAGTCATTCAATTCGTATGTTCCTTCACACCTTGGATTGTTTGAGGAACTAGTACCTTTCGGGAATATTGCTAACCCTCAACCATAGCCCCCTTTCTGCGTCCTGAGTTGCGGAGCCCATGGGTTCCTTCATTGCAAATTCTTTCTTTCATGTTTCCTTTACGCTTTCTTTCGCTAGTTTCTAAGCATGCTACCCTACTCAATAATCATATTCAATGCCATAGCGATAGATAGTACGACGCTGGTCTTTTGTATTGCTGACCAGTCCTCGATATTAGTATCAGATACATCTATTCCTAAATGAGTTGTTGAAACAAATCATTGCCTCTAATATCAATGTGAGTAGTTAATGCATTGGATCTGGCCAATACCACGGACAAGGACAAGTCCTCGAAACATAAAATGATCTAAATTGTACTTTCTCTCGTGTTATCTCTTAAAATGACACTGCACAGCGTGAGGATTTACAACAGCTTCATTCTCCTGCCCGCTTGGCCAGACTTCACGACTGCCAGCACCGCCAGCTGAGGTCTCTTATAGAACCATATTCATTCTAGGAAACGTGAAACAGTGAAAAAGAGCATTGTCTACTCATATCGGTCCCTCCGTTGAAAACCCTTCTGACGAAGACCATTATCAGTGCTGAGTTAATGTAGTATATACCCCAAGATATATTATGCGTATATCTTGATTCCTCTTTAAATTTAATGTCTGTATGTCGAGAATGACCTTGTTTGCTTGCTCTTCTTGTCCCCATAACATCTAGACTGTATTCAAGGAATTCTTTCCAATTAAGATCTATATATGTCTCCTAATTTTGTACCACAGATACTTGAAGCTCCACAAAGAATTCTTGAACTGGGCTTTTTATAGCAAAGAATAGACTTCAGGTCTAGCCATCTACCACAATGCTGAAGGAGGTATTCAACAAAATCCTCAAATGCATTTAAATGTGTCAATCCTTGTAGACTCGCAATAGCAGAATGCTATTCTGGCAGTATGCCAGGAGACTTTAGTACGACAAGCCTCTCTGGAAATGGGAAACCTGGGCAAGTACCGTATCAACATAGACGACATAACATCTCTTCATCTCCTTACCTGGAAAAATACTTTTCAGTCTCACCACACTACAATCAAGCAACCTTGCCTCTGCCAGACCATGCAACAGCAGGTCATCACATGAGGTCCTCAACAAAAGCTAAAGTCCTCGATATCTTAGACTGGCTCAAGGATGTATTCATTATCGACGCAACGGAAGCAGGTTATATCAGGAACAAGGAGGCGGTCGCAGCGAAACACGAGTCGTGGCCGTAAAGTTTGGGTTAGAAGGACTATTATTACTGAAAGCCAGAGATAAGGGGGAAGAACGTTCATGAAATTGTTTAAATGGTCAGTGCATATCTCGTTAAATATTCTGTATTTTGCTCAATTGAGACAGTCTTTCCGCGATTTCATCGCGCTATGTCAGTTCCTCCAACTCCATAAAAGAGTGCCCCAGAATCGGTCAACTAGCCAGCGTACAGGAAACCGTAAGGGGGAGATGCAGTGTGGCGCATAGAGGCACCAATCGTCGTCAGACATGATGCCTTGTGCATTTGACAACTTGGTAGACTCGTAGTACTCAGGGTAGAAACCACCGTCCTCCCAGTCGATAACCCCGGTGACCATGTAAAAGTCGGCATTCCCTGGGTCTTCTTGCACCATGATGTTGGGTTTCTTCAAATCACCATGGCTAAATACAGAACCTTCTAGGGATTTGTTGTCTTCATCCAAGAAAGACCGACGTAACTTGACGTAGGAAGGACTGGCGCGATGCCTTGCCGCGAACTGCAGCTCGTCAAAACCCCTAGCTGTGGTTATGCCTTTGTACGCGAGAGTTTCCATAATGCGGTGATCTTTGACTCCTTCTCCGCGTACGCCCCCAAGTTCAGTTCCGTCTTCCTGGTGTAATCTTCTGAGGCGAGAGAATATAACGTCCAGCTGTTTTTGTATGGATAGTTTACCTTCATGGGATAAGCGTGACCATACCTGGTGCATGGCGATCCCTGGAACATATGACATAAACATGGCACCAATATTACCAAGCATGATGAGGCCATGAGACTTAGGAATTGGTAAATCGGGGGCATTTTCAGCGAGATACTGGAGATTGTGGTACTCAGTAAGATCCCAACTGCTGGGAAAGATCTTGATAACAATGTCGTCACTGCATCTAACAACAGCACTGGTTCTAATCCTTAGTTCGAAAAGTCTGTCAGACTTCAAGATCAGGTCTTTCAGAGCAACTGAAAGGGGTACTTTCTCAGAAGAATCAGCCGCCGCAAGATGTTGATTGGCGAGCGCCAACGCCTGGGCAGATAGTGGGTAGATGATGCTAGCAGTGTTTACAGCTTCAAGTTTTTCGCGAAGCCAGTTGCGCGGCGGTTCTGGCTGCGCATTGGTGGGGACTTGTCTTCTTCCTTTGGCTTGGCCTATCTGTACTGGCGATCGTAGTCCGCGGGGAAAGCATCGCGCAAGTTGATTTCGGGTCGGGAATGTACCTGATCTTGGACACGATAAACGGTTTTAAAGTTAAGCCGACTGGCCTCAGATAGACCCGTGAATCGATTAACACGATGTGCACTAATATATCTCGTCCCGACAACAGATAGAAGGTCTGCTGCGGGGTCCTTCTCCAGCGCCTGGCGGAAGGCGTCCATCAGATCGCGATTCCATGTTTCAGCGTCGATCTATCGATGGGAAGGGACTTTTGCTTCTCCATCACCGCTACAGTCATTGGAGATTAGATACTGGTTTGATGAATGAGAGATGGGCAATATAAAAGAGGCGAGAACGTGAGAATCACATTAGGGATGCCGGTTCATGTGACTTTCATTACTAGTGGTAACGAGGGTTTGTAAATAACGAGGTGTTTCAATCTTCTTCTGTATAAGTATAAGTAGAAGAATAATACTAAGCTCCGCAAGTACACTGATACTGGCTGCAATTTACAGTCTGTAAATTTCTAAATTTACCCCTCAGGTGGTTTAGTGTGGACTTCAAATGACATATAGAATATCTTTGGGCCTCATCTGCTGACATTTTTATGAAGTGGCCCTTAGTTGAGCCTAGCCGCTGCATCCTTGATTGTTTTGTTAAAGAAGCAGGGCTGCTTGATCGTTTCCTTTGGGCCCTCTAGTGACATGTAGAAGCTCCTTCAGCCTTCTTCATAAGCTTGAACCTTATCTTGAGGTGTCGGAGGCATACTAAGCTGCTTGGGCCCTCAAGACGTCCAGGGTGTGAATGTCAGAAGAGTATGCCTCGTCTTGAGAAGCAATGAGGGCCAAGCTCGAATTCTTGCCATATAACACGATCCATGGTATATAAAGTGCGTTCGCAGCATTCCCATGGGTATAATGAGCTTGGAAAGGTATAGAGTGCCCCTGTTCCCGTTGACATGTATTGTCAAAACGATCTGTTTTGGAAAAACACTGGATATGTTCGTTTTTACAAGACACAAGGGGATATGTGCACAGAGACGTTTGGGTCTGAATGCCTCAAGCCAATTGGAAGGGCATAAGACGGAATCATGGTTTGGTACATATCGCGATGGTGGGCTTCATGGACTTGGAACAAATTCGGGACCGCTTTCGATGAGGTCAAACAGCGAGCCCTTGAATCCCGAACGCCGCTGAGCCCAGTAATAATGGTTGAACGCAAACAAACTATCCACACAGGCTGGCCGAGTCCGAAGCCATGTCGAGCTCTCCCAGAGGCCTTCCAGCGAGATGGGAATTTCTAAAAGGGCAAGGAACAAGGGGAAAGAGGTATTTTGTAACTTAGTACCGGTGCCAGCATTCGCAAAGAATTGGGTTCTAGCTTCGAGAATATCACTGGCAAGGGCAGTTGCGGTCGCATCCTCAACGGTCAGCGGATACCGGAGTCGATGGATGAGAAGAAGACCAGCAGTTCGATACATCACTGCCTGGGTGCGCATTGATAATATCTCTATCTCGCTGTACGCCTCCAAACAGATCCCAGGGCTATCAGGGGACCAGCTCCGGATCTGGTGTTCAACGTCCTCAAGGATCGTCTCCTGGGCGGATCCATCTGCCAGACGATGACTAACGACACACAGATCGTAGAGGATCGGGAGCAGCGATGTACAGAGACCTGCCACTCGATCAACGATTCCTGCACGGTTGAACACCGGTCGGATCACCGGTACCTGGCGATGCAGCAGGCACCATACCGTGTCCCACAAGATGGGTGCGATCGCGATGGGTTCCATAAATCGGTTGCGAGCAATATCCGAATACCATGGGAGAACAAGGGACAAAGAGCATCGGAGAATTGAGATTGCTCCTGTGGATGTAACCAGGGAATCAAACGCAGCCAATGCCTGCCCCAACATGAGAACTGCGAGTGCGTCATGAGTATGCGCAATAACCGCATTTCTGAGCTTGCCTACGGACGCAGCGCCGCTTCTCACATCAACTTGATCGGCCGTGAGCAAGCCAAAACGGGCCCACGAGAGACCGCTAGTGATAGCAGTGAAGATTTCATCCAACAGGCCCGGGGAATGACGGTGGCAGTATTCCAGAGCTCGTTGGAAGTCCTCTGCAAACGTGAATCCAAACATATAGATATCATTTAGAAGATAGAAATCCACAACCTCTAGGTGCCGAGGAAAACCCAAATGTGTGGACTCCGGAGACCGCTCGCCGGACTCCTTGACTGAGCTGGACTTGATTACAAGCTGGGGTTCCTCCCGAGCTTCCTCCTCAGGGCTACCCGCAGATAGGGCATAGTCCCATACGGCGAGGGACTCTTTCGCTACCCCAGGAAGCCCTTGTTTCGGCGGGCGCCCTCCACGTAGTTGCTGTCGGGAGACGGTGCAGGCAAGAGATGATTTCTCACACCGAACGCATATGGAGGAAGCTGGGCGTATCAAGCATCTCTTCTTTCTATTATAGCATTGATCGCAAGCTCTTTTCTGCATCATGAGCCTCCTTTTCTATCACAATTAGACTCTGTAAGGCCGGAGTGGAGCAAGGGGAGTCTAGTTCCCATATAAGAAGCCGAGTTGCCGAGGCCTTTCGGAATTCGAACGGATACGATGGAGACGTTGAAAAGCTTGGCAGTCTCCGCTCGTTTTCAGCCTGAGTCCTGAGAATGGCTGACCTGGAGCTACGTATGGGTCTATCAAGTGGCGACCGATGATCCTCCCCACTGGCGGAGGGTTTTTTCGATTTATGGGATAGCGGAATGCGGAGACAGCCAATAAAATAGAGTACCCGTTAACTTCCCCAGACACGTGTTATTATCGACATCATGCACAAACGGTAAAAAACACCTGCCCAAGTCCAATCAACTCATGGCACCCTGCTAACTTTACGAGTTCGCCAGCTCCTGCTCCAGGCGCCGCAATCTGACCAAACCTTGCGAGGCATTGTCTCGCAAGAGTTCCTGGATCCAGTTCGGAAGCCCACGGATCATGGAAGCGAAGCCGTGAGACGAGGGAACAACGACCTGGCCCCCATTTCCGTTCACAAGCTGCTTCACCACTGCTTGGGAGACCTTTTCAGGTGTCATAATTGGCTGTCCAAACCGTGATCTGTGTTGGGTGATGTCATTGATCATGGGTGTCTGAACCCACAGCGGGTGGATCACACTAATAGGCCTTTATTAGAGGCTGCCCGCTTTTAATCAGATATATGAGGGGGGGAACTAACCTTGTGCGCACTCTTCTTGAGCCATACCAGTGCTTGATCTCCTGGGTCAAACTTTCGTGGAAGGCAAGCGCCCCAGCTTTCGAACAAGCGTAGTCGGCCAACTCTCCTATGGCTACAAAGCTGGCCAAGCTGGCGATGTTCACGATGTGACCATGGTCATTTTTGATCATACTAGGCAAGAACTCCTTCACAGTCCAGAAATGTGATAGAGCGTTGACCTCAAGGGTCAGGCGTATCTTTTCTTCCGGTTCGTCCAGGATGGTTCCCCCACAGCCAACACCGGCGTTGTTGATCAAAACCGTCGGATGACCATGATCCCTCCGTACCGTTGTAGCTGCCTGTTTGATTTCGGCAGAAGATGTAAGATTGACCTTGTAGAAAAACACATTCGATGCTACATTGTACGTTAGAGAATGTTCAGTGATACCCGTTGCTGAAGATCACTCACGCAAAGGAAACTTGGGCTCCTGAACATCAAAAATGATAATCTTAACTTTCAGCTCGGACAAGTCTTGCATTATCTGCTTTCCGATTCCACTGCTTCCTCCCGTCAGAAGTACCAACTCCTTAGATGCATCCCAAGGGCGCGCGTGAACCCAGTTGTTCTGTGCCCTTTGGGATAGGTATCTGTTGACAACTCTCAGCGACTGAAAAGCTGCCACAAACGCGATCGCCTTGCGTACAAATGGACGGGACAGATAGTCCTGAGCATCAGGCGGTAGTTGGGAAAAGAGGGCTTGAGCCTTGTCCAAACAAAGCTGTAGCAGATGATTGGCAGACATAATGATGATTTGAAAGGCGATAGTGTTGGTTCCTGTGATGAACCATGGCGATGGTCGCTGTTGGTCTTTTTATAGCTCTTGCAAGACTCGCTACTCCAACTTTTTTATCAAATAAACCTGGAACCACCGAGCCGAACCTAGGATAATCCTTCGTAAGTTAAAGTTCTACGTTTTGCATGTGGAGCCCAGGCGGAGGGTTTTTACCACTCTGGGGAATCCCAGAGCCATCTCAACGGCACCACCCCGCTAGCGAAGTATATGAGGTCGGAAGTTGTTGTACATGACCATGATGCGGTTAACCGAAGATCTTGTAATTGGCCTCGGGGTGGAAAATACTCGTAGGAGAGGTAAGGGGGGCATATGAGTGTTGATCCACCTGACTGTAATCCCTCGCCGCGTCTCTACATATAAATATCCCTACCCCATCGTATGGTATGTAGCAACATTTTAGATTCATTCAACTTATATCCTATCTTTTCTTCAAGATGTTATCAACTTCATTTGATGTCCTCATTGTCGGAGCGGGGATATCTGGCATCAATGCCGCCTATCGTCTCCAGACTGACTTCCCTGACTACCGCGTCGCCATCCTGGAGGCCCGGAACAACATCGGGGGCACTTGGGATCTTTTCCGCTATCCCGGCATTCGATCAGACTCTGACCTGTACACCTTTGGTTTCAAGTGGTTTCCATGGAATCAATCGAACCCCATCGCAGAAGGGGCGGACATCTTGAGGTACCTAGACGATGCGGCTACGGCAAATGGCATCAAGCAGCATATCCGCCTCAACCATCGAGTAAAGGCAGCCAAATGGGACGGTCATGAGTGGAACCTCGACGTACAAAGCGGGGATACTTCAGAAACACTAAGCGCTCGCTTTGTAATATTTGCGACCGGCTACTACGATTACCACAACCCCTTGGAAGCCACAATTCCTGGGCTACAGAATTTCCAAGGGGAAGTGATTCATCCCCAGTTCTGGCCGGACAAATTCGATGCCCTAGGCAAAATAATTATAGTTATTGGCAGTGGTGCGACCGCAGTGACACTTATACCGTCACTCGCAGAGGACTCTGAATCCGTGACGATGTTGCAGCGCAGCCCTACCTATCTTGCCTCCATCCCGAATGATCGCTTCAACACCGCCTGGGCCAGACTATTACCAAGGTCAATGATGTACTATGTCCGTCGACTGTGGTATCTGGTGGTTCCCCAGTTGTTCTATCGCTTTTGTCATACCTTCCCAAACGCTGCGAGATCCATGCTGCAAAAGGGCATGAGGGCGCAACTGCCACCAAGTGTCCCTTTAGATCCCCATTTCGTACCTCGCTACAACCCTTGGGATCAAAGACTCTGTGCCTGTCCAGACGGAGACTTCTTCAGGGCCGTAAGATCCACAAAAGCGAAGGTTGAGACGGGGGTGATTAAGATGGTTGATGGAGGCGGGATTCAGCTGGCGTCTGGGAAACGACTCGACGCCGATGTTATCGTCACGGCGACTGGTTTAAGAATGCAATTCTTCGGTGGCATCCCCATATACATCCAAGGAGAGAAGCTGGATACTTCCGAAAAATACACGTGGAATGGCCTCATGCTCCAGGATCTCCCGAACGCAGCAATGGTGATGGGTTACGTGAACGCCTCATGGACGCTTGGGGCAGATATTGCCATGCAGCTTGTTTGTAAGATCCTGAAACACATGGCAGGCAATGGCTATTCAACTGCTATTCCTACTCTTGTGTCTCAAGGTCAGCTGGGCAAGAAGTCTGTGATGGGTCTCAGTTCCACTTACGTCAAGCGAGCAGCCAAGGAGCTGCCAAAGGCGTCAGACGAGCGGCCATGGGTATCACGTACTGGTTACTTTTCCGATTTATACTTTGCAACATTTGGTAATATAAGGAAGGGTCTTGCTTTTTCCTAGTTATGAAACTCTAATCTGGCCCTGTGGTGGAAGGACTGCGCCCCTCATGTATCCTGGATATTGCTGTCATTCTGTGAAGCTTCTTTCTTCACGCTCAATTCTATTCTGTCGCATATTGGTGTGTATCAAGCGTCCTAGAGCCACATGATCTGCATAGTTCGATTCAAGACACTACAATTTTTGATGAATTTTTAGTGATCTTTGCCCATGCATAGGTAATGAGGAAACCTGATCTCGTCTTGTAGGGTATACAGCTCACACTCTCCGGTACCTTCCTCCGGACAGTACTGTAAATATACCCTTTTGCTCAATGCTATCCGGGCTATAATATCCTCCCCTGAGTTGCCGTAATATTCAATCTTAGAACAGTGCATTCTCGTAGACTGCCCCGCTCACTCGGGGGCTCACTTGGATTTTATTCATCAACAGCGAAGGACGCATGAGAACAGTTGAACAATGGTTGCTTTTAGTTTGGTTACCCAGTGGTCCTAGTAGTTTCTGTGATGGATAGGCTCTTAAGAAAGGCAGATGCAGAGCGGCCGGCTTCTTCCAACTATTTTTGGCCTTGTCCATTTTGCTCTGCTTATGTGTGGCCCCTCGAATCATCACAATGATATGATGTATTCTTGGTCTCTTTGCTTTTAGACACAACACAAATACCAATTGAATCCATTCGGGTTTTCATTTTTATATGTCTCGGATCATATCGACTCTCCATGGTTGTCACACATCCCCCCAAAAGTACAACAGATATACGGTCGCTTTATAGCAGTCAAGACGGAAATATGGGAGTGTTATGGGGCACGTAACGATACATTCAAGTCCAATGTTTTGGAAAGGGTTGTAGCCGCTGTGCAAGCGATGCAGGTGGTACGCCGTTGTCCGAAATGGAAGGGGAAAGACTGAAAAGGAGCGAACCCATCAAAAATTGCAAATCCAAGGTAATTGTGGAGTATAAGATCCTCTAAGCATCTACCTGAAGGTCAACAAGGCATTTTCACATGGCTAATGTTGTAGTTGCTCTAGTGATTTCCATTCAAAGAACGCAGTTCCTGCTTTTGTCTTTACCTTCACTGGTTGTGTCGTTGAACTGAATTCAATACCATAACAGCTATGACTGCTCATTGTCAACTATGTCGACGCGCCATTGCAGCGGCTAAGGCGAACTAAGATTGGCATGTCTGAAGTCTCTCCAGGCTAGACTCCGAACTCTAAAAAAAAAAGTCTTGTAATTGAGCATATTCTCCTTTCCTTCGGTTCCAGCAAGCGACAGTATGCAATATGTCTCACACTAGTTCCTATTGAGGATGTAACTATGAACTGTATTGCAATAAATGCAGTGGTCAAGGATCATACTATGATAATAGAAGGAGGCTTGCACATCTGCCCTGGTATGAAAACATCGTCTATTCCAACTACAGCTAGTAAAATGGTGGAACGGCTCCAACCACACTGGGCTTCTAGGACTTGTCTATGATTAGCGTAGTTCCAACAGAGAGCAAATTGTCAGCTAAACTAGGTAACCCTTGAAGCTCTCTCGCGGTGAGCTGGTTCATGGTGAACAATAACTCATCGGAGTCGTCGCACAGCTTTCTGAGTGCAGCTGCGTTTTCACAACAACCCTCGCCAGAGTATAATTATGTAATTTGAACCATTTTGTATAATTCGAACGAGCTGGAATACTGAGCCTTACTATCCTGGAAGGAGGTTGATCTACAGTCTGGCTTTCCACCTATCATATAGCAGCTGGTATGGAAGAGATGTGAGTCTGTGAGTAATGGACCACTCATATATCCAGTGTAAGGCAATCCGGGGAAGGCCCACCAGCCGGCTCACTCTATG